TTTTTTTTCTCCTAAGCACATACTAAGCAGGTGAATGTTAACTCAATCTTTTAACCTCCCTATGACACATTGTCTTCCCAGATCAAAAAGGACCAGAAAGCAATGCATTATTCTCACATATCCAACTCGTGTGACCAACAAAAGCTCGATACAAAAGTGCAGCCAGAGAAACTGAAGTCATATTTAGCCCTGCACAATGAAATATATCAGTCTTCACAAATCTTGCTGAAGCATAACGGGCACAGCATTACAGGCTGGGTGAAGATGGAAGAGACACCAGGGTCTATCTGATCCCAGCCCTGCTCACACAGGGACACCTAGAGCAGGGTGCCATGGCCCATTCTCAGCTCTGCAAGACGCCCAACATAGTGCTAAATCATCACTCTTAAATTGCCACATTTTCTCATTATAGGCCTATGTTCTGTAGTTACTGTAGGTACTTCTGATGGGAGGACAAGCATGCAACTAGTATTTCTGTGTCCCCAGAGACTGAAGACTGCATCACTGCAGATAGAGTAGCAAATGATCTGCCTACTCTATGAAAGCTATCGAAGTTAGAAAAAAAAAAAAGTGTGAGCAAAAGACCAATTAACCTATGTTTGCATAAAGGGATAGAATAGCTGGGGAAAAAAAATGTACCTAGAGTAAGATTTTGTTATTATCCATAAAATTTTAAGACTTATCTTGTTACTTTGAAGTGCACCAGAAACACTCCATTACAATTATTATTTCAGCCCTTCTACAACTGACCAAACCCTTCACAAACTTGCCAAACAAGCAAAGCCAATTCACAGATTGACACAAATTCACCTCCCCACCGAAGCCATGAATCAACACGTATATTAAACTAAAAAGAGAGACTGGAATGACCATGGATAAACACATTCCAAGCATATTTTTTTCAGCTGGAAACTGACCCACATTTGGCTTGAATTAAAGATCCATCACAGTGAAACAAGTAACTAAATGGAAAGATATGAGTCCCTTTGAAGAGCGTGCAAATCAAATTTGGGTGATAATTAGCAGCAGACAATTGAAACCTACTGTTTATTTGCACAGAACCTGACATTTCTGAACTACTCCTTGAATGGACACACAGGCAGCTGAGTATTCTCTGTTTTCCAGCACCCAGCCCCCTTTTTTTCTTCTCTGAAGCTTTCACAGGTGACTCAGTCAACTCAACAGCTCAAAGCTACTGCCATCTTTTTAAGATCTTTTTTTTCTTCCCCCAAGGAGCAAATAAAAATCCTTCTTCAACTGTTGTAAGAACAACTGACCTTTAAACACTTATGTCTAAGTCTAATGTCTCTTATGTCACTTTAATCAGTCACTTATAATAAATTATACATAAAGTCACTTATGTCTCTTTAATCACTTATGTCTGCTTCTCCACTTGCCGTCCAAACACACACAAACCCAGCATTTCAAGTCAATAACTGTCTTTGGATTGCAGACAAATGCAACTACCTTTTGCCTATAACATGTTGAGGTTCCTTTAACCTGATCTCCCCTTTTGTGACAGCGTTAATTCCAACCTTCAGACTTGCATCCTTGCATTGACTGGACCCTAGGATCAGAAGTACAAGAGGTGGAACTCATAATATTGCAATTAGCAACTTTCATTCTGAAATGAGCATGGCAGACAAATGAGTACATAAACAAAATTCCCAAGTTTTCACTGTCTGCAAACATCATTCCCCAACATCTATGTTAATATTTACTCCTACTAAGCTAGGCAGGTAAGAAAGAACATTCCTTGACCTTATTTGGGGTAGATGCTAAACACACCTTCGCCTTCAGCAGAAGTCTTTCTGTGCTAGCCTTTCTACAAATTCCAGGTGAATTCTCCCAGTAACACACATAAGGAAAATGGGAGTACAGACAAATAATTACAACTGTTTGTATGACCATGCTTGATCACACGGCTCTGAAAAAACAACCACAACAAAACAAACCTAATCTCTGACAGAACACTACTACAAGAACTGGTAAAAGTAACTTTAAACTACTGGTACTTGAGGATCCTTTTTTATTTTGTAGTTTGAGATTTGACTGCCAAAGGATAAAACAACAAATCAAGAGCTCCTCTTCAGGCTTCCACAAATTCAATATGGTGTAATTCAAAAACAGTTCTTCAACTCCCTGGGGAAACACTGAAGAGTGAGTTCTCAGACTGGCTGTCAAAGAATCAAATTTCCCCCGTAATCAGGGAAGAGTAAAATAATGCATTCTCAAAAGTTGAACACTAGTTATCACAAGTGTCACTAGGTCGTAGACATCTTCATTGAAAACCCAGAATTTACCTTTCACTGTATGAGAGTTCTCTTTTCCATCAAAAAGGAAAATGCAACCTCGCAGAGGGGAAAAAAAAACCAAAGAGAAACAACTAAAAACCAATAAAAAACAGCACAGTAGTAAGTAGCTTCCACATCTTTCTTATTTCTTGTAAGAAGTATGTTGCCAATGACAATCACTACTCACTATGATGAAAACACCTCAGTGTTTTAATCTACTCACAGTTCATAGTAACCCTCCTGCTGCATTTAACACCAGACCTTGCAGATCAGGCACGTTCCTTCACAACTGCCTTTCAGATTGTGTTGGGTCCATTCTTGAAACAGTTACAACATGCAAGCCTACATCCAAGTGCAATACTCATTACATTATTAAATTCATTTTTTACCTATGACATTCAGGTATTTTCACAGAAACCTAAGGAGGAAAAATATGCTGTGACCAATAATTTTAGATGATGTGTTAACTCCATAACCTAATACAGCAGTGGATACAATCCTGTGCAAGTTCCAGAACATAAAAAACATCCAGTGTTTTGGAAAAAAAATCACATTTAACCATTTACATTCCAGAGCTGCCCACAAAATCCATCTCCCACACTTTCCTACCTGCCTGTGTTTTTCCCAAACTCTGGAGCCTGCTCTCCTTCAGATTCACCTGAAATTTATGCATAGAGCTTTCTTTATGCAGAGTCCCTCATTCCCAAGCACTCTGTATCTAATCTTTTGCAGACGCAGACTTTTTATTTGCCCCTGTTGAATAGAGTTTTCCAAATCTCCTGCTTCCTAGTTAATTACACCTTCAAAGGAAGGTGACATTGGTTAACTTTAGTGATATTCACCACTTTTTGTGATATTACCCACACTTTTATTCTGTTTGCCATTTATCAGCATTAGGTATACCTGGCAATATTTAGCTGAAAAGAACTACAGCAGTTTTCCAATCGTTCTGCTCCTGGCATAAAGGATATGCACAACGCATGCATCGTCCCAAGCAGGCTTAAAAAAAGAGGGGAAAAAAAGGTCTATTAGATGATGAAAATAAATACATTTAGCTTCTATGTATTAATGCATTTTGAAATTAGACTTCGGAAGGAGAAGTTCTAGTCTGAAGTGCAGTCAGCTTGAAACTGAATTAAAAACATGATTCAAATTCAGTAACAGCAATATTAATTATATGGCTTACAAAACTTAAGTCAAGAGAGTAACATAACATACAAACATCTGTTTTCTCAGTGCTGGCCCAATAGTTCAAAGCTGCAAATTAAGAAAGCAACAAAATACCCATATTTAGAATATTAGCCCCTTCAGTTCAAAACAATCACTGATGCCAAATTGGGCTGATTGAGAGAGTAAGGTTTTCTATTTTAGAGCAGTGTAGTAATTATTAAAAGTAATGATGTCTAGAGAGAAAAAAAGCAATCTACTTAATATGAACACATTTCTTTTGATCACCACTCTAATTCCATTAACCATATGATACTGTCTACCCAGGTGCTGAGATGTTAACCACTGTAGAGTCTGGAAGTCCTTGCATCACACTCCACTGAAGGAAAAAACAAATTTCGTGGATTTGTTTAAGAATAGAAATATCATCATAGTCCTTAACAGAAAAGTTTTCTTCCACCCATTTCAACAGACTGTGGGTAAGGTCTCAAGCACTAGATTTCTAGAAAGGCAATGTCAGAGGTCTGCACTGCATCTCTCCAGAGACAGTTGAGCTGTGTGAGGACAAAACTGTCTCAGGAAATTAACTGGAATGAAAAACCATTATATGGACAAGCTGTAATATCGACAAATGCATGGTAACTCATACAGCCAAGAGTTCAGCACAGTTCTGAAAGTTTGGCCCCTCGCATGACTGCATCATGCAGTGAAAAGCTCTGCAGACATAAAAGTTAGCTGAAGTATTAAAAAGCCATTAAGATGCATGTGCATGGACTAACTTTGCTTCCCCTTTTCCCCTTCCAAGCACCAAATTCCAAAGTTGCTGTCATTCCATTCATTTAACATAGTTACAATTTACCTCAAACGGGAACATTTCATTTTCCACAGATTCATTATAAAAAAAAAAAAAAAAAAAGGAAAAATGGAGTACACTCCTGCAGTACAGAAGTCAGAGGACGACACTGCAGAGACCTGGTAAGCTGCAGATGCTGGCACACACCTTAACAAAGCTACACATTACGCTAAGAGTACATTAGAGAAAGGCCTTACATTCTGAACTAGCTTCTCCCAACACGCTGTGTGCTACCCCAACCCCCTCTGAAATATGCTTGGCATTACAATAGGATGATTTTATAATTTTCTTCCCACTGTATGTCCTTCATCTTTTTCTGCCCTAGTACAGCAAGACTGCTCAAATTTGCTTATCTGTTGCACATAGTTATTATGGATACTTCTTTTAAAACTTCTTAAATCAGACACGCATTATCTCACATGCTCAACAACCTTCAGAAATTCTGCCTTGAAGGAAGGAATAAACACAAGTTGCTTACCCCCTCACCCCAAAACTATTATTAAAAGGCAACTAAAACATACCATGTTCTGCTAACAAAAAGATAATCTGAAGTGACTGTGAGCTGTATAGTCAACTGTACATCCAATGTCTCACAGTCCAAAAGGCTTGCCTTGTAATTTTATGTGGATATGCCAAAGAGGAAAAAAAAAATACAACACATTTAGCCATCCTAACCCAAATAGAGATTAAAATAACAGATAGTTGATTTTATTCATTTTGTTACTGACTGAATCCATGTGAGAAGCTTTCAAAATGCAAGTTTATTTTGTCTTGTTGACAAAATAACTGAATACTAACCATAAAGACTTCTACCTTGCAACTGGCAGGCCCTAATCCACGATGAGAGGTGGTGTACTTCACCAATCCTTCATTTTCATAGCCTCCAAATATAAAGTGTTGAAGTTCCAAGCATAAGAGCTTTACTAGATCAGAATCTCAGCACATTTTCTGAAAAATTCAATCACAGTAAGAAGTCATTACCCCTCTAGAAGTAGGAAGAAGCATTACATCATCAGCAATTAAAGTATCTTCTTCTCACAGCCAAAATAAAGAAGTGGGAAATACTGCCAACATGGATGAGATGGCTGGTTGACAAACACAAACTCTTTTTCTAGTATCTCCCCGAGGTATCAGGAAGATGATACCTCTATTTTGTGACAACAGACAGGAGAAGGAGAGCGTCTCTCAGCAACCTCATCATGGTAAGATTTATAACAACATAGCAGGATCACTGTCAATCCTGTTATTCTGGTATGAGTATTACTGTATGTAATGCTGTATGCTATGCCAGAAGAACCAAGCCTCAGTAACGTATGTTCAAAAGTTGCATAGAGTATGAAGAGTTGGCCTATATAGTATTATATAATATAGAAATTTTTAAAAGCACGGAAGTAGGAATATTTTGCAACAACATTACTAAAAACTGAGAGCAACCCTCTTTTGGAAATGTAAATATTCAACTTAGTTAAATCAAGACAATCACAGATACGCATTTTTCCCAAATCTTTGGCTGTATTGCAATGGTTGTTTCAATTTGTAATCTCCAACTAAACATTTCCTATCCATGGATTAACAATATATTTACTGACTTGTGTCTTTTAACAGTATTTATCCAACATAACAAAATAAACTGCAATTTGTTATACTTTTTTTTTTTTTTTTTACAAAACATTTTATAAATATTTTTACAAAATGTATACAAAGCAATTTCAAGTGAGACATACTTTACAAATGAAGGTATTTAAGCAAATAAAGTCCATACCACACTGACAATAAGTGACACATCCTCTTTAAGTGAAGTCAGTCTGTAAGGCCTCCCTAATCTAACAGATAAATTATACTAAAATCTTCAAAATGAACATCTTTTTCTTAATTGCCAGTTTAAAATTTGTTTTAATATTAGGCAGTATTAAATAACATTGAGAACACAATGTTGATCCAGCAAAATAATGAAAACATGTTTAAAGTCATGCACATTCACAATACTTTGCTGGATTCGAGTCCATATGATTAATCTAGACTTCTTAAATAAAAAAAAAAAAAAGTACAATTCTTTCATTTCCTGCTTCATAACGTACCAGAATTCCTTTAGAACTGAATTCAAAGGAGTGAACAACAGAACATGATCAATCTAACATTTACCTTGAATTCGTTCAATGGGCTCCTCTCATAAGTAGTTCAGGGAAATGTGTCTGACCAGATCAACAATCATTACTTTTTGCAATTTGTCATTTTTAATGTCATTGCCCCCCACCCCAAAATAAGATCCAATAGAAGACACACAGCCTGATATACACCAGTTGCGTATTTGCTGTACAGACGCTGTATCCATTTTGAGGTGGCACAAAAAGCAAACGTATCAACAAATGTGCAACTTTTCTTCCCCTCTATAAAAGAATTAACTAGTTAGCACACAGCTGCGTCACTTACTGGCTTTCTTCTCAAATCGTTTAGAACAGCTGAATTTCCAACATCATCAAGTACATACGCTTCAGAATACACAGCCATGAGTATTATTAAATCTAAAAAGGCAACAGGTGAAGACCATACTGTCAGTTTCACCCGTAATAGAACAAATCACTGCCTGAGAGTCTATTCTATGGACACTTAGCTAAGAATTTAAAACTGGCAATGCTCGTTATTACTTTGAATATTTTATACAACACTCGGGAATGTTGGGTTTAACAAACATGTACTTTAAAATTGGCACAATTCTTTAAAATGGCAACTAGGAACATTAAAAAAAAAAAAAAACAACAGCATTTCCATCCACTTCAAAGGGAAAATGAATTTTAAACAAGTTCATCTTTCTCATGTTGCTTTCGAGATTTGGTTTCCTTTAGCGGTCAGACAGTGGATTGTAGCTCAATACTGAGTTGCACTGTAATCTTTCACTGTCACAAGGACATAATTCTGCTTTCCTCTACGCTATTCAGATGGACTGAATTGCATGACAACAAAACTACCTTTTGTCTTCCTTCCTGGCAATCTAACTGACAACCACAGTTTGTCACAATGAGCCTCAAGGTTATGAAGACTGTAATCATTAAGTCTGGAATATGATTGGTAATTTCTAAGAAACTGGAGGGGAGGTCTGGGGAGAACATAAGCATATCTTAGAAATCACAAAAGCTGTATCCTCCTGAGCAGACATATGTACTACCTGCACGAGACTAATGCCAGCGTATTTATGTGCACAAAAGCACTCATGACCAAGGTAAACTATGAAAAAGCAGCATGGGCAGAAAAAAAAAAAAAAAAAAAAAAAAAAAAGAGACATCATAGATTAAAATAAATAAATAAAATAATAAGATTCTATCTTACCAACATGACAGCAAGCCAAATGCAAACCGTGCAATAGTTTCACTTGGCTCTACAATATGAATTAATAATTACACACTTTTAGATATGTTTTAACAATGGGACTGCTGATCAACTTTGGTCTGTACATATCTTGATAATTATGACTGCTACAGTGGATGCTTCAACATTCTCTGATAGCAAAATTAAAAAAAAAAAATCAAAAATAAACACTGGCCTTAATTTTTTTTCTGAGTAAGGCTAATGTCCTCTTAAAATATAAGCTACAAATATCTTAACAGCTTTCAAATAAAAGTGCTTTTGACACTCGGTCTAAAAATAAAAAAAAATTAAAATCAAAGAAAAAAATAAAAAAATTATACCACTTCAGAAAGACTCAAGGCTGACTACATCCAATTATAAAACGCAATAGCTCTTGAAGAAGAGTTAATATATATGTAATATATATATAAATTCATGGCTCTATCATGGCCTCGACCTGTACACAAGAAGCCATTTACTGGCTTCCAATCTACCTTCCTTAGTCAAGCATTTATTACTTCATATCATGCCACTGTGACTAAGACCATATAATATCATCTCACAGACTAAACTTACCCACTACAAATATATCAAGGACTAGTTTCTGCTCAAAAAGCAATAGAAAAGCACTTTAAGTTCAACTTATGAAACCTTGTTAACACAGTGATGACATCCTTCCAACTTAAGACTCCTAGAACACAGATTCCATTACAAAGCAAATCATCACTTCTGAATAGAGGTACAGTGGGTTTTCCAGAACAACTTAAAAATCTTTTGTGGATTTGGGGAAAAGGGTAGGGGAGAATTGTTGCTTCCATCGCTTTTTAAAAAACGTTTTCTTAATAAATATATCCTTTCAAATGACTGTGATTGTCAGTATATTACCATATTACATAGGGCCTAACGGCCTGCAACCTTGTTATGCTGCAGGACTGCACAATTATCAAAAGCACTATCATAATAATACTTGAAATAGTAAGGCCCTAACAGACTGCATTCTAACAAGGATTAACTTTACTTGGCTATCTCACTGTAACCACAATGAGTATTGCTCTCAAACACAGAACAGAATCTAGTTTAGAAAGGTTAACCTTAAATGTATGTCAGGCTGTACTTGTGGTGTCATTCACATTTGCTTCTGCTAAGAGAAACATAACTTTTCCAGGGTATTGTAACTATTAACACTCTAAGATACTATTTACAGCTGCTTCTAAAATAGAGTCAGTTTCTACACCTTCACTGTGGTCTGGAATAAATTTTTCCAAGCAGTTTTCCTGTGAAGCAAGAGGTGAAAAATTAGGAAATTCTAAGTCAACAGAGCCACTACTCGATGCCTCATTTTGTGTCGGTCTCCCAGTTTTTTTAAGTTCCAAGATATTCTTAAATGTCGTTTCTAAACTCTTACTCAGCAGTAAGTCTTGCTGGGGTTCACTGGAGCCTTTCATGTTATCAGGATGTAAAACCTCATTCTTTGGAGGGCTCCTCAGAGTTTTGTCTTTGAAGGAATTATTACATGTTACCTTCGAGAAAGATTGGACTGTATTCCTTGGTATTTTATTGTGTGTTCCATGACCGCCTCTTGATACAGTTTTTGACAAGTCTTCAGAACTCAAAGAATTCTCAGCTGACTTGGTAAGAACTTTACCAGCCATCTTTTCTTCAGGAAGGGCCTTGTATTGGCTCCCAGAAGAACAATTAGCTTTCTCAAACTTTAAAGCTTTAATGAGGCTTTCCGATTTTTTAGTAGTTCCTTCTTGTGATGTCAAAACGTTGTTAGGCACTAGAGGAAGTTTACTGTGATTTGTGGACTCTGCTGAGCTGAATTTTGGTCGGTCTCTGGTTTGGGTTTTGGTAGTCTGACTTCGAGAAGGTAATGCTTTGCTAGACTGATGGTCACTTTTGCTGGTCTGTGCTTCATCAGCTGTTTTATCAAATTGTTTGGCAGAACAACAAAAATCAGCCTGATAACCATCTGAAAAATTAAGCAGCAACATTTTATTTTAGCTACGTTTACTAAAACCATGTTTAACTATCTAGCATATGTTTACAAAATAATTGTTCAGGTTTTTCTTAGTATTCAAATTTAGGTAACATCTACAGTCTAGCAATTCACGTCTTTAAGAAATATGCACATGCTTAAGAGTAGGAACTTATCACCAAATTAAGCAGCATAGTATGCAGATAATGTGCACAGCAAAACCATACTAAAAGCGCTGTAAGTATCTAAATATTCTAATATGCTATCAGAAAGACTACTATTTCAGTCCTCTAAATTGGACTACCATATTCCCTCTGAATAGTTTTTAAAACAGCTAACAATCAGTGCCTCACTGTAGATAGAGATATTTTTTAACTGATGATGCTATGCAAACATGCTTAAGACTCAGAAGCTAACCATCCCTTACCAGGATCCACTAGTGCAAGGCGCTTCTCCCGGGTCAGAGATGCTCTTTCTTCCTGGTTAAACATCCTATCAATCATAACCATTTCTGCAGATGGATTTATCCGCTGCAGGAAAGGGAAAAAAAAAACACCTCTGAAGTCACTCATATATTTGTACTAAATTAAAACACTTATAGTTTAGTTACTTTTCAGTGGCTTACATATACGTGTGAAAATCATCCATAATTCCATAGCATCTTCAATGATCCTTACAATGACCACAACTTTTGAAATTCAACAATAAAGTATTACAGAATCACAGAATTGTAGGGGTTTAAATTTAACAACTAGAATCACTATAGTAGTTGTAAGTATCACAGCTTTTCACAACTGAATACATTTTTTACCACTGTTTTTCTTAGAAAACAGGACATGCAGTAATTTTCAGAAGAAAAAAAAAAACAGCAAAAATCTTGCAGTTGGGATCACTACACGATCTTGTTTCTCCTCTTCACTTCTCTCCCAGAAGTACAGGTATTTTCAAGTAGTTTACGCTGAGTTGCATTTTGCAGTCCATGCCTTCATGCCAGTGGATGCATCCATCACAGAAAAAAAGCTCACTGGCTATTAAGTCACAACACAGGTAACTAATTCCAAACTTAAGCATTCTTCTGGGTAACTTCATTCCAAAATGACTGAACGGGATGCATCATACAACATTCCAGATGCTAGAAGAACAGATTTTCACCTCTATCTCTCTTCCACTGCAATTACTTGGAAATGTATATGGATGGTAACTATCTTTTAAACAGGACTGCCAGATTCCAAAGCCATGTTAGTTGTGACACTTCTATTATGCGATCCTGTCTTGCTATGCATTCCTGTTCCTAACTGAATCTGATCTGAATTTTTCATACTCTAATTTTGAATTTTTTTCAGACTTGAAAACTATTGTGTCTGAAGCCACAATGAGATCCCCTGATACTTCCAAAATACATTCAAGTAACTGTGCAAGTTGGATTTCTTTTTACCTCAAACCTGGGATTGTGAAAGCATTTCAATTAGTAGTATTTATGACAAAAATAGGAAACTCCACCCAGTTTCTAAGGAGAAGTAACAATTTCCAAGATTAAAATGAGCCACCAGTGTGCCCTTGTGGCCAAGAAGGCCAATGGTACCTGGGGCTGATGAACATGGCCAGAAGGTCAAGTGAGGTTCTCCCCCTTTACTCTACTCTGGTGAGACCATATTTGGAATTCTGAGCTCCTCAGTTCAGAAAAGACAGAACTTCTAGTGACAGCCCAGCAGAGGGCTGCAAACATAATTAGGGGTCTGGAGTATCTCCCTGATCAGGAAAGGCTGAGAGACCTGGGACTGCTCAGTCTGGAGAAGGGAAGACAGAGAAGACCTTATCACTGGTGATAAATGACTCCCACCCACTAGATAAGTGGATGGCACCGGGCTCATTATATAGCTGTCCACAGCCTGTTCAGAGCAAGTGCAAAGTATAAACAAACAGCAGAAGTTAATGTGCCCTTAACATCTACTGAATTTACAAATGAACAGCAGCCTTTGGCAGTGTGTCAAATGAACTCAACGTAAATCACTGATTTTAAGATACAAGTCTACACTGAAAAATCCAAGCTGGTCACTGAAATAGCTGGTACAACAGTAAACTTCACATATACGTGTATATATACTTCTTCATATACACACACACAATGATATATCATTAAAGAGAATAAACAAAATCAACCGTAATGCAAGCTCTCACCTTCCTGTGTTATTTTTACAAACTCAATCACATTATATAAACATTTCTTCTATCTGCATTACGCTCCTTACCATTGCATCTTCTATAAGTAAACATCTGTATTTGTTCAGCATAGCTTGTGTCCTCTTCAATAGCTGTGTAGCTACAGATTCAAATTCACTGTCCACTAGAAAGAAAAGAACATACTTTCAAACGCTGTACTTCAGTAACGTGCACAAACTTTAAAACGTTTCCTTTCTAATTGCTCTAAATTGCACAAAGAATTCTCTCAATACATTAATTACAACCCCAATGCCAATTTAAAAGATGGAAATTACCTTTTTTTAAGTCTTCCTCAGTCGGCAGCGACCCCTGACACACATGATATGAAAGGAGCCTCTGAAACGCATCATTTAATGATCTGAACTGACTTTTATCTGGTGTCACAGCTTGCATCTGATCCTTCTGTAACTGCTGTAGCATACTGCAATGGAAATTGGTATCTATAATTAGCACATAATCTAACCAAAGTTTATACACTACCAAAAACTAAAGGGAGATGAAAGTTGGAGAAAATATCTGTAATAAAATTACAAAAGAAGCCAATGACTTACAAAGCTCCTTTAGTTAACTGTTTAGCAGCAGGTCGTTTCTGTCCAACTAAATGACCATCCACCTAAGTCCAAAGTAAGAGACAAATTATAACACATCCCTTCTTCCGCAGAGCTCACATTTCAGCATTTATTTTTGCCAGCAAAGTGTACCAATACTAAGTGCAATCACCAAGCAGGTATGAACACATTTAACCATCTCATGTTTTCATAAGGCCCATTAACAATGAAATATGGAAGTCAGTCCTCTTACATCACAATCTTGTTTACAGGCAAATTCAACTGCAGTGCTTATACATTCTTCACCAGGAAAAAGGCTGGTTATTACCAAATTTAGCAGGTGAAAAGGTTTCTTTTCTTTTGAAAATAAAGCTGCTCTCAGGAACTGTCTTCCCCATGTCATCCTGCCTGATACTGATGGATTAAAGTATCTGTCAGGGAAGTAGGCTAAGGTTGCATATGTACATTTTCAAAAGCCTGGTATTTGGCTGTGGGCTGAAAGCCCTGCATTTTTTTCAGTGTTAACAATCCACATATAACCATCAGATCTGTGTCTTCTGCATTCCTTACCTTACTAATGATTTATGAAATCATTTTGCAGCAGAATGCTGTCCTAAAATACGTGGTTCTCTAAGGTAGTAGAGACTCAAGTTCCGATTATACAAGAGGCATTACTCAATCCAAATCTTCTGAATAAGTTATTGTGAATCCAAGGGCTTTTTTGTTTAATACAAACTGTTGGGTTTTTTTTTCCGAGACACTGCCAACTGGTCTAACAAAATCAGTCACAGAGGAAAAAGCTACTTTTGATTTTAAAACAGATTGAGTGAAAGCTCTTTTAAGTACAGAACATCCTCCTTACCAAAGCAGGAATGGCATGAAGCAGGCAAACTGCAACAGTGCTTGGTACCTTCATTGCACAGAAAGCATTCACCTTCACATGAGAAAGTAAATCTGACCAATAATTAAAAAACCAAGCTGAACTCATAACTGAGCACTACTTCATACTCTGTACAAATGTATTTCAGTCAGTACAGTTACAGCAGCGAAGATAAATTGTAAATCAGGTCCTTCCCCTTTTTTTTCCCCTGTGATTTTGTAATTTAGCTCCATCCACAGCTAAACTTGCACCTCCTAGCCTAATTCAAGCCCTCACCTCCTATCCTCAATTGCTCAGTCTGGGAATGTAACAATTGTACCCTCCCTCACAACTTACTTGTATTCTATAAAAACTGGCTTCCCCATCCAGCCCCAAACCCTGGAAGCACTGTTAAATTTTTTGTACATAATTCTCACATAGGAAAACTTTTGGTGGGAAACAAACACATGCTGAGGAAAGAAGACAATGCAGTAAGAATCAAAGGCTAGATGGAATTTTCTTCCTCCTTCTCATAAACCATCCCCACCCAACCAGGTACACAATAGCTGAGTTTACAAGAAGTAACAGTATTGCCTAACTCATCTTCAACCAAATGAAAGAACTGTGATGTCATATCAAATTATCTTCAGGAAGCAACAAACTCCACTAAGCAAGGACATCTCAAAACAGCATTTTCAGAATATCAACTGGCAAAATACTCCATGTTTGCTACGTCAACCTCACTGAAACTTGAAGGGAAACATATAAGTGAAAGTCTTCTCTACCTGTATACACTGAACTGAAGATGATCCTACTCCTTTTTCTTGTGATGTTCCAAGAGATTGCTGTACAATTTTTCCTCCAGAGTCCTGCCCTATAAAAAATACATTAAAGAGACTGTAATCCTAAGCAATTACAGAACCATTTAATGTACCTATCCCAATCATTCTACTTGAGTTTTTATCTTTTAGGTAAAAGACGCCTCACAAGTTTAAAAACACTGATAGAACTACCCTGGGGACAGACTGGCACCTAAAAATGGAACAGGACTGATACTTTGTGCTGCAAACTACAGAAAGCCTAGAATATAAGGATTTCCTATCACACCACTGCAACACACCAAGAATTTCAAGTACCGTAAGTACAGTGTCCCAAACATTACTGAAAAAAAATCACAGTACATTTTAAACTTTTCCATCTTCTCCAACTATCTAACTTCACTGAACTTTTCTGTAACTTATTCATATGTCACAAGAGAAGATACAAAAATTTCAGAGAATTCTGTAGCTGACGTCTGTATTTCTTCAAGTTGCAAAAAAAAAAAAAAAAAAAACAGAATAGAAGACAGTTCAGTTCCGTTGGATTTTATGGAGGGGAAAACTAATTCTCTACAGACCACATTCACCTTTTCAAAAAGCACACACTGAACACTGAAAAATTTTGTTTGCAGTCTCCTAAAAAAAACCAAACATTCCAATTACCTCTATCAACACGAGCCAGCAATGCAAGTCTGACACTGTGAAAAAGAATCTATTGCTGCAGCAAAAAAAAAAAAAAAAAACCAACAACCTGACAACAGAATCATTTTTAGAAGACCATGGTTGACCTGATAGGGTGTTGCTCAGAAGACTTGACAGCTGATGTTGTCTCAAATTATCTTGAGCCTTTGACGCAGAAACTGGTGATGTCTGGTTCATACCTTTCTTCTGTGGCACATGCATTAAAAATAAAAATAAAAAGCTGAAGCATTTACTGAAAGCTTTAACAAAGAGGAAAAGAGCAAGAACAGGCAAATGCAGCACTGTGCATCCTCCCTCAGCCTCAAGCTCAGCACTGGTGAAGTCTCACCTTGACTTCTTCCACTGAGTTTAAGAACTGCATACAGTAAATTAGAGAGGAATGGAAACTCCACCAACAGTACAAATACACAGAGGGTGCATTCTGGATGCCCTGTGATTCACCCTGACTCAAACTAAAAGCAGCCTTCAGGTAGCTCAGCTTTTGAGAGTCTCAAAGCTGCAAAACAGTCTCAAGAAAAACACTCAATAGAACAAACTCCACGGTGTTCAGCAACTGAATGATACTGACCTTATGATACCGTACAACATTTAGGACTTAAGTACAAACAAGCTAAGGAGATTCTGGGAAGCAGTAGAATCTGTTCCCTATAGTTAAGACCACACTGGCCGCTTTTTGGTTCCAAAATTTTACCTGAAAAATATATTCTTTTACAGCAATAAGGAATTCTATGTTTTTGTAACTGCTGAAACTCACTGGCCTCAAAATGCATCCTACAAATACAAAAATAGAGACATATGAAGAGAAAGTCAGTGTTCAAATTACTCATCTGCAAACAAAACATTACAATCTGTGCTAGCAGTTTTGGTGAAGAGTGAAAATTTGGTCCTACATGTTTGCCTTCATTTTCTAAATAAAGCCACAATATTACATTGCCTGTTTTGGTCTCGGTTAGCAAAAAAGCATGAGACCTTTGGGAAAAGAGAAAAAACAACAGTAATTGGTGCAATTCCATTCTGAGATGATAGCTATCAGTATTTTATAATGACTAAAGAGAAAAAAAAAAAAAACTAGACTAAAACAAAGCAATAAAAAGCAGAGTTGAGATAATTGTTAGTTGCTAATGATGTTAGATGCTAACAAGTGCAATACTGACATGCTTCGGAAACTCATTTATGAAAGCAGATAACTTAAGCTGAACATAAACTACAGCTGCATCAACTGGACACTTCCCACCCTAAAGGCACGTTCAGAACTTTTAAAATTACTTAATAGGCCTCTTCCTAGAGATATTTTTTACAAGCTAAACTTCTACAAACTGCTTGAGAAAGTATTTTCTCCTAAGGACTTTGAGAAACACCTTTCACCTTTTCTTTGACTGCTTCAAATTTGAAAGCTTCTAACTGCTCCAGATCCAAAAGAACTACAAGCACGCAAAATGCCAGAAAGATTAATGGTAAGCAGTTGAGAAAATACCACTATGAATCACCACTAAAAACTTCTGAATTAACAGAAGCAACAGGCTCATTCACTCAGTGACAAACTTCAGAAAATACTGAGTGAAACGACACATCTGGGTTACAGTGATTTTCAGCAGTTACACAGCATTTGTAATACTACAGCCTAGCAAAGCCTACTTCCTCCATATTAACAATTTTAATACTTCGTTAACAAGATTTTAGCACAGATTAGAATCATTTCTTCAGCTGTATTCTGAAGCAGTTTGCTTACCTGACTGAAGGCGAACTGTTGCTGTGTTACTCCAACTGATGTGTGACTAAAGGTGCTGATGGATTTGGAAGAGGATGCTGGAAGACGATGTGATGAACTGACAGGAACTTGAGTCCTGCTCTGTGCGAGTTGATCTCCAGTAAAGTTTCCTCCAGATGCAACAGACTGAACAGAAGGTCCCAAGCTAGGATGTACCGAACCAGAAGAACTTACAACAGTGAATCGATTAGAAGCTGACATATTTGAGACTGCAGACTGCCCAGGTGACATTGTCGTAAAACTCGATCTACCTTGAGAAGCATTAGCTTGACTGGGTGACAAATGCAACACTGTCGGTGATGCCTGCTGCAGTGGCACCTGTCCACCAACAATTTGTGAAGTTCCATGATTTACTATAACTTGGTTTCCAGGAGCTGTGAAGGTCTGGCCAGAAACAAGTTGAACAGCTGTGTTCTGATTATTCAGCATCTGTCCAGAATACGACTGGTTGGCTCTCAGCATGTTTGTAGAGTTCCTGTTGAGCATTACATGCTCGGCAGACACTTGGCTAGGAACCAACTGGGAAGGCTGCGTCTGAAGAAGCTGTCCATTTATGGCCTGGACATGATGAACTGAGTTTGAATTAACAGCCAAACTTGTAGGTATGAGAAACTGATTTTGAGGTGCGTGAGGCTGTCCCATAGGAGAATGGATAACAATACTACCTCCAGCATTACTAACTGTCTGAGGTGTAACTGATTTTCTTGTATTTTGTTGATTAACGATGTTAACAGACATATGAGGACCAACTACTGAACTCTGAGGTGAGCTTGCAGAAGCAAACGGAATCCCTTGCTGTACGTGATGTTGCTGTATTCCCAAGTTGTTCACATTGTAAGCAGACTGCTGACCCATCTGGACAGGCTTTGGTTGGATATTAATGGGTACTTTGTTAGAGTTTGGCGCTAAACCCCTTTGAATTATGATATTATGGACAGGTACAGATGTCTGAAAATTTGTGCTGTTAAACGGAACTGTTACAGGTTGTGCTACAGGACTTGTATTTGAGTTCCCAAACAGTGAGTTACCATTTGGAGTTTGTCTATGAACCAAGAGGCTACTGCTCATGTTTGCAGGCGTCTGCTGACCATTACCCTTCAGTATTATCTGAGATCCATCGAGGTTATTAATGGTCATCATGGAAGGCTGATTACTAAATGAACCAATCAGCTGTATCTGCCCTGAACCACTAATCTGGTTGCTATTAGACAAATGCTGGCTGGGAACACTAATTCCGACATGTTGCATAAAGCCATGTTGCACGCCGACTGTATTGCTTGCAAAAGATGCTCCAACAGGTTGCTGTACCACTTGAGTAACTCCTACAGGTTGCAACGTCTGACCTGAGTAATTAGAAACATTAGAAGCCTGAGTAAAGGATGCTGATGAAGAAGGATGAAGCTGAGCTTGTGCAAACTGTTGACTAGAACCTACACTGGCATCCAAATATGCCTCTTCTGCCAAAGTCTGTTCAGTAATATTGGCCTCCTGCAAGGACTTCTGAAGAATATCAAAAGGTTGATCCTCACTAAGATCAGGTAAAGGAGAAGACACAAGTTCATCTTCAAGAAATTGAAGGCTACTGGACAGCTGCAGTCCATCACTAGGCCCCTCTCCAAGCTGATTGCTTACACCTTTTACAGACGACTTAGGATCAGTGTTCTGAAATGAAATACAATAAAATAAATCCTTTTCAGGAATTCTCAACCGTTTCCCTATTAAGCCTTTTCACCCAAACAAACTGCCATACTACGATCACACAGTGCAAATTAGCAGCCATTTCACAACATTAAGGAACTGTGTTAAGTCTTTGTCTCAAAGAGTTTTAGAAATAAGAGTAAGAAAAACAGTGCTACAGATTTTGTATTTTATGTCTTCAGAAAAGATTACAGAGAAGAACTGCCACTAAAACTACAGCAAATATTAAGTAGCATGTTGAATTAAAAATGTTTCTACTGTACATCTGTAAATATTGTAAAAGAAATCAGATCCAACTAGCCTACTTTACTTTGGTCTACTGTCAAGTTTTCCTTAAAATAAGTAAATAAATAAATAAATAAATAAATAAAAATAAAAACCACCATAATATGCCCAGAATCTCTTAGCAACACAAATGTCAGGTTCTTAAGGGAGGGTAGGAATGACAAATTTAAATAGCCATTAAAGACTTGCAATTGTTATAAGTTAGATAAGAGTACACCTTCCTAAATCCAAAATCACACCGCAACTTTTGAAAAAACATCCAATTTCTTCTTAGATCAGGATTGCATAACGTGGGTGGAGAAATTATTGGTTGCCTTCATATTCTGAGCTTTCACTCCTTAAATGTCACAGACATTTGTTTTCACCTCATATAAACAAGTGAAGACACCATAAGCTGCAATTATCACATGCAACCATGTCCCCACCCTAAATATTTAAGCATATTTAATTCAGAATTTTAACCCAACCTGCTTCTGAAACAGCCTGTATATTTTACAAAACTTCAGCCATGTTATAAAATATTGAATGTATTAGAAGTTAATAAAATATTTGTATGTCTTTATATACGTATAAAACCACACAATTTTATTAACATATATGTTTATTAAAAGAATTAAATCAGTACTTAAATGTCTTGATGTCTCCACTACCTAACTACCATCAGGCAGAGCAAAAAGTAGTCATTATATAGGGCTCTACTGGAACTCAGGACCCCCAGATTCCTGGGCAGAATTCCTTACTGCATCTGTAAATTGTCTCCAATTAATACTGTTACCATTAGTACTAACAAAACAACAACTAATAATAACAATAGCAATTGTAAAAATAAATAATAATATTGTACGCAATCAAGACAAAGAGCTTGAAACTTTCCCTCTGAAATGAAAAATATTGAGAGTCACTCCCTGCTCCCCGGACTGGTTAACATCCAGACACAATTTTACCTACGCAAACTGGAAACGTATTCCTAATCACTGCTGCCATGATTCTAACAGCCACCCAGAGCATTATGCTATTTTCAACAAGAAATCAATGCCTCTGCAATTTTATAAATGTGTTTCAATACAGTCTTACTCTCACTGGCCTCATGCATATTCTGCTCTCAAACTGTTCCACTGTACCTAGCAGGAAACTGACAGAAGTCATTGGACACAACCCAGGCAATGACTCGGGAACTCTCCCATGAGAGATGTAACAGAAACTGATGACAGCCAGGAAACAAACCTGTAATCAGTGGAGAATCACTCTGAGGGGAAGTAAGGAGAAAAAAAAAAAAAAAGCAAAAAAAAAAAGCAAAAAAAAAAAGCAAAAAAAAAAAGCAGACACTGCCTTCTCTCCCTAAAGTCACTGTGAATTTCATCTTGTTTGTGTTAGATGCTGGCTGTGCATGCTTACCAGCTGGGGCACTGAACCCTTGACACTGAATTTGTAAATTCTGCCACTGAAAGGCATTACATGGCATCAACAGTCAATCCTACTTCATGACAGCAATTCTGAATACATACAAAACCAGAATCTTCAGTACATGCAAGAATTTTAACAACAAAAAGAAGTCAGAAATCCTCAACTTTTCAGGTGTCTTAAGTTATACGCAGGGCCTGTGAATCCAACCACCAGTGGGATTTGTATGGAATACCAGCACCATCTTTTCTCCCCTCCCCTCCTTGGGTAGAAACCATGTGCTGACTTGAGTGAAAAACAATTTGTTTGAGGATGGATGAACAAGTGCCTTGCAAAGGCACAAGAGGTAACCAGAATACAAAACCCACTCAAAATTACTACCAAAAATCTCAGCTTCTGAAAAACACCAAGAATTACCCCAACATCTGTCTATCTTTTCATGCCTATCAGAAAAATGTCTGCAAAGAACAACTAGAAAATCTACGCTATGACAAATATATGTCATATATCATCTTTTTTCCCCCCACAGCCTCATCTTTCTTAGCATGCCACAGTACAACAGAAAGAGCAATAAACAAGAAAACCATACTGCATATGTTAAAAAAGCTGAATGTGGGGATGAGTATGTGATAATAAAACAAAGAAACAGCAACAACAATAATCAACTAATGAAATACAAGAAATATGGGTTAGAAGGAAACCACCGAGTCCAGCCTCCTACTCAAGGGAGTCTACTGCCAACAGTAGATCAGATCAGCCTTGGCCATATCTCTAAGGACATGAAGCCCACAATATCACTCAGTAAAACGTGATCCAGTGCAGCAACACTCCTAGCACAAAGAATACTGGAGAGTTGGAACTAGGTGATCTTTAAGGTCATCTCCAATCCAAGCCATTCTATGAGATATGATTCTGTGACTACTTACAACACCTAATGAATTTCAAGTGAATTCTCTAACAGTGAAATTACAGTAAGAAAACATCCCCAGCTAGCTACTCAGTGTAAAGAACAAAAAAATAACATGAATTAAACTTCATAATTGCTAGCTCAGATTTTACTTAGAAATAAGGTATGAAAATATCCTACAATTCACAGAAAGTGTATAAATAATACATTTAGATGCAGAAATAATACATCAGACATAGAACAGATCTACCACATCTACGATCAATAAACTTACATGCCCAATTCACTGAATAGTTACAGCAGAGAACATTTTCACTGCTCAGCAAGTGGCTTTTGAAAATTTGCTAAAAAATGGCCTAGTAGTGCTAATGTCTTTTGATTCAGTCACTACTGAAAACCCAACAGAAATACTTGAGCAGCGTGAGGTGGTTCTACGAGAACATTCAGAATTTTTATGTGGAAAAGGTCAAAGCCCAAATTTACTTAATTCACTTTTTTAAGAGCCAAATAAAGCTGCAACAAAAGCATGCAGTTTCAAAAACCAACATTTCTCTCCTGACCACTTACATTGGAGTTGGCGAAAATGGAATTTGAGTTGGCTACAGAATATTCTGCATTTGTCAAGTCTTCGTTGCTCTGGTAAAAAACAAAATCATGTTTAGAAACAATACACTCAGTAAAGGTTTTGTATATCTCACACACAGGAAATGCTACTTACAGATTTATTACTAGGTCCATGCAGAAAATAATTCAGTGCCTGCGGGTCCCTTAAAAAAAAAAAAAGAAGAAAGAAAGAAAAAAGTTACTACTTCAGGCAACTCTTTCTGCTAATGAGGTGAATTTAACTGAGTCAGACACTTAACTCACACAAATCAGGTTTGTTTCACTGACCCCAGTGCACAGTTCAAAGTGTATACCATTTGAGGCTCCTTGTTTCTTTATCAGAATGATTTGGAGATACTGATCAGATTCACTGTCATTGCACAAAGACATTCCAAACAATCGACCACATTCATCACAAAATCTGAGTTACACTATTCTTTTTATGAGGGCATTACTTTCATTCTCTCAAAACACAGCATCTCACAACCTACAAAACGTAAAGAAAATACTGCAACCAAGTAACACGAGAACTAAAACAGCCACCATCTCCTCTACTGAGCTTAATTATTATGCCTGCTCAGCTACTGTTTAAGTCAATAAGGTTTGTTTGTTTGTTTTTTTTAACCAGGTTAAATCTTTTAATGTGTTTTCTGACACATTAACAAAAAGCTTTTGTTTTTTTGCCAGAGTAAAAAGCTGCACCAAGTGAAATCAACCACGCAGATAACTGAATGAATGCTACAAAAAACAATTTCAGTGCATTTCACCAGTGCATTTCACGAACCTGGCACTATCACTGAACAGAACTCAGATTTAAAACATGGTCTGACAGAATGAGTGTTGGAAATTCAAATAATTTAAAAATACTTAAATATAATTGCACAGGAGACCTCATAAAAAGCATTAGAAATGTGCTACAAATGATTATTTTAAGTTACTATAAATCATTTCCCAACGTGTCCATTAGCCTAAAGAGCAAAGTGACAGAGTCCTTTAACTTCAAAACATCTTTATTAATTAAGACGCAATAATAATGTAAAAAAAAAATTGAGAAACAGGAGATCCTCGTTGAAAAAAGTTAATCCAAACCATCCCTCCTCTCTCCATCGTCCTAGAAAATAAAAAGGAAACAAGTTAATATATCAGGTTTAACAGTCTTCTAAAAGCACAGAAACACGCCTCTTATTTGGGAAAAAATATACTGCATTCATGCATTTATCAAGTACGTGTTAAAAAGGCAGCATTTGCCAGAGACTTCGTGGTACAATTACATTTACGACACACAAGTAGCTACATATATTGCAAGCAAAAGAACCATTTTCATAGTAGAAATTTCAAGAATTCAGTAGAAAGATCACTGTATGAGCTCACGAGGTCTGTCACACTTATTTTACTGATACATTATCAAGCCATTTAATAGCAACTTTGCTCACTGGCTTTAAGTCATGAAACACACAATTAAAAAGCGAGAATACTTCATCACCTTAAATAATGGCTTTAATAACAAAGGAATTTTAGAAGGCACTTACCGAAAACCAAAGATGCTGCTGTCCATTCTTCTAGACAGTAGAACAGAACAGTAGACAGCTTACGACAGTAATTGCTGTGAGCACCAGGAAAAATGCTGTAATTTTTCAAATGCTCACAAGGATAGAGAGCACTTCATTTTCTGGACCACGTGTGAACTTGTACCAGGATCCTCACAATTCACGCTCACGGCTCAGCATTTAATTATCCAATGCAGCCAATTACCATCTTTATGGTAAAGCAGGATGTCTTTTCATTTTTCATAGCTTCAGTCAGTGATCTCACACAGCACACAACACAGAACGTAACAGTGATCCACTCCAGCCAACACTTTTGCTGTAGCATCCACAAAGTAATCCCTAAATTACAGTAGCCACTGCAATAGCATTTTGCTTTGCTCTCAAGTTCTCATGGGTTTTGCATGAAGTCTTCGCATAAGAAATGTAGAAAAGCTATTTATTTACTACATGTAACATAGTATTAAAAAACAAAATCTTGTATGAAATAGATGCCGCATTTTAATAGCTGCTACATGACCAATGCCATACTGATTTTTCATAGTTTGAACAAAAGTACCACATAGGAGATGTTTCCTCTCGTGTTTTAAATGTATTACAACACATTACCTGTTCTCAAACACTTGATGTAAATGTCAGTCAAGCAAAGGTAACCTGTCATTTATACAACTGACAGGAATCTTGCAATGCAGTAATCTAGTTGTTATATTATGAGATACTTATATGGACTATATTACTGCAAAAAGATCTGTAATTCATATTTTAGAAAAAAGTAAAATCCCAACTTGATTAAAATCAGCACCTCTTGAGCAAAACGGTAACAAATCCTTGTTTGCTGTGGATACATTACAGTACCAGGTAACATTCTAATATTTTCATGCAAACACAAGTTACTAGTAGATATTAAGGAGTTTTGTTTTTTAAGAAAATTACATCATCTTACTTTTCTCTTTAAAATACAAACACTGTCAACAAATTTTCCAGCTCCACCACTCCAAGAGCTAAAATTCCTTTTTTTTTTAAACCCCCCCAAAAAAGTTCTCTGCAATGAAGTCTTTAACAACATCCCTACTACTGTGCTTCTGCAATGACCCTGTATTACCATTAACTGAAAAGAGACTTCAGCTTCCACGCCCACTCTTTCCTTAGCTGCTCTTGAGAATAATGCCAACAAGTGGAGTGTCATCTAGCACGAAGTGGGACTGAAGGTCATCTTACACATACATCTCCAAGCACAGCTTCATTTCATTTCAACACAGCATAGCTACTCATCTTATTTGCAAATCACCTAGTATTGATATGATACCCAACCTTTCTGAGGAATTACACAGGCAAAACTTACCCAATAAGATCAAGGAGACAGGATTCATCATCATCATCATCCATGACAACTAGAAGGAAAAGGAAGAGGATATATATTCAGCAAACACCAGAGAACATATTATTTTCAACAGCAAAAATATTTTACAATATCTCAATAGTTTTTATCAAACAGTTTATGTGAGTTGACAGACATTTATTATTGCCAGAATTCTTAAGTATTAACAAGCATATTCTACAGAGACCTACACAAATTCACTAAGTTCGTCTCAAAATCAAATTCAGCCACACGTCATGATCTACAAAACTCCATACAATACCATTATTAGGGTTTTTTTCATTTTATTGCTGTTGTTTCTTTTTTCTTCATAATGCTCAGCTACTGCTAGTCACAATACACCCAATTTCAGTTTCTCCTTAACAGCACTCAAGAGTGTACTTACATGAACTTGCAATTAATAGTACAGAGTTCTGAGAATCCCTTTAAAAACAGGTGGGCAATTCATTTGCAAACTGAACATAGGCATCCACTGGGCACAGAGCATTTTTACTCTGACAGCATCCCAGTCACCAACTCTTGTACTCGCTGATTACTCAGATTAGTACTACCTGTAACAAATACACTCCCTCATTTTTTCCTGATTGCTGCTCCTTTGAAGCTTCCATCTGCACGACCCTGGCTCTCCCATTTACCGTGACTCTCCAAATCTCATCAAAGACTGTAACATCTTCTCTTCTTCCTGTCGGTAACTCCCACAATCTCTTTATCTTCCCTTACTCCCTGCAGAGATCCCAGCTAATCAACTGATGATAGCATCTCCTATAACTCTTCACATCTCGGCATCCATTCCGTTATCCAACATCATCCACACAATATCATATAATCAAATCAAACCGATTCCTGCCATGCCTGTGTTTTTCTCAGCTCCCCTTAAAATTCTGCCACCATATTTAACACTGAAATTTATAATTCTAGTTAGATTAAAATAAATTGAAGCCAATCTCTTATGTCGAAACAGAAATTTACTCCCCCCCATCAGCTCTACACACATCATTCTGTGGGCTCTCATGACTGTTCACAGTGATTGAAATGAAGGGACCTGTCTCACAGGAGGCTGAAAGCAATAGGACTGTTCCATCAGAAGAACAGAAGGCTCGGGGGCGATCTTAGCAATGGGTAGAAATGCCTGACGGAAGGACATAAGGAAGACAGCCAAATTTCTGTCAGTGGTATCCAGTAAAAGAGGCAAGGGATACAACATGTTTCTGTTTAAACTTAAGAAAAAAGTTATTTTCTTGTGAGGTTGTCAAACAGTGGTGCAGGCTGCCCAGTGAGGCTGTGGAGTATTTGCCTCAGAACAAATACAACCCTGCTGATGCAGCCCTGTGCAGCCTGCCTTGGCTGGCACTCCTGCCAGCAGGGCATTGGACAAGGCATTTCCAGAGGTCCTTTCCACCTCAACTGCCCCAATTCTGTTATTTCTTTCTACACCTCAGTGATTTTGAAGCTAGCTTCTAGCTCATACTAACAGAAAATACCCCAGCCCTTACATCATGCAGCCCCATGCTTATTGACTGACAGCATGCAGCAGAGGATCGATCATGGCAAGGATGCCTCACTATCTCTGCTCCAACAGAACAGGAAAGCAGACCGTGCCCACAGCCAACTACTTGAAACATTAGAGAAAAATCAGCATTCAAGAGCTGACTCTGCATTTTAAGGAAAATACTCTCACCCATGATTCAGTGTCACATCTGCTGGCTGCTGCAAAACAGCAGCATAAACACTGGTCTTGCAACTGAATGCTAAGCAAATTACAAGACATTTTATAATGTGGCCAAATTTAAATGCAGATGTGCATTAGTAAGAACAAATCAGTAAGTGATTAGCATTTTGCTTTAATGGCACTGTTAACACTTCTTACAGGAAGCTATTTCCTTATGCAGCACGTACAGCTCTCAAAAGCAGGTTCCAAAGAATCCTAGCTGAACGAAGGGAGAAGGAGAAAAAAATAAAAAATAAAAACAGGATTTTTTTTCACACTGCACGCCTACTTTTAAAAATCCCATTCCATATCACTATGGTAACACTAACACTGCTACTTGAAATCAGCAAAACTCCTTCACTTCACCAAACCAAACATTCTCTGCGAACATACAGTAAAGGCTTATCATTGTGGGAAGCCCAAGCAATCACACAGAACTTTGTTGAACTGCTATTCCAATGGGTATTATAACTACTAACACAAATGAGATGTATTTGCTAAGGTCACCAAACTCTGGAAAACTCACATTTATAAAAATTGCAGGAGGAAAAAATATACAAGAAAATGACAAGGAGAAAAAAATCTTAACAGTAATACATACTTTCTACCCTTCAGCCCTACTGCTAAGCATATAGCTCACCTGATCAGAAAAATGTACTGCTGTTTTTCCTCACTCAATACACAAGAAAAATCTACCCAACTTACTGCAAGCTCCTACCAGTCTACAAAACAATAAAGACAAAAATGAAGAAAACAGATACATTTTTGTAAACTCCATGATTAACAACCAGTCCTCCCAGAAGCACACCTATCACGTTCTAACAAAATTCTTGCCATCACTCAGAAGATTTCTTACAGCAGCATTCAGTTGAAGAGGCTGCTGCACTCTCAACACCTTGAAAACCACAAATAAACCAAAAAAAAAACCATCACTATCATCTCAACATCCCCCCAGCAAGGGCTGTGTAACACCACATTGATGTGATGCAGGATGGCAGCGTGTCTGTGAAATACCACAGGACCAACATGCAGATGGAACTTCACTCACAGGTACGTGGTCTGTGAGGGACAAGTCAAATTCATAACCAAGCCACACGAGCTCACCACCTATTTAGAATAAATTCTGTTTGCATTTCACGCTGTGTACCCAAGGTCTACCTAAACCACATAACTGTATATTTAATTCTTTTTAACTGATGCCAATTTTCAATGACAATTTGTGTCCTGCTAATTTCAGGACAGCAACACAAAAGGTGCACAATCAAAGTAAAGTATTGTACAGCCATCCCTTTGGTCTTTATTTAGAAGAGGGCCACTTGAGCAACACGTGATCTTGACAAAAATCATCATGTAAAAGTGTTAACAGCCTACCCAGTGAAATTTCCTTGATGTGCTTTTTACAGCGTAAACAGTAGAAAAAGCTTATTGTTTTTTCTTTCCAACTATCCTTTCTGTCTTTTTATACTCAAGATACACAAATTCAGTGTGTAACTAGTGCTCATCAGTATTTGTTAACACAGTGGACAAAATTACTGATGTATGAAATGTGTACAACCCACACTACCAAGACAGCATGAAAATATAACAGAGTGAGTGAGAACTAAAGGTTGAGAGCTGCACAGCCTGCCAAGCTCCATGTGTGTAACCCAAGGGACACATTAGAGGAAAACATCAGAACCTCAGCAGTCTAAGCATCTAATTTATAAATAAACATACATATACTGGGAGTGATTGACAACGTGTGGAGACCATTGGCACAGGATCATTTCTAGCTTTGGGTCAGCTGGCTGGGGCCTTATGCCACGGGCAGGGGCATGAGGTTTGGCAGGGCCTAGCAGGGTGCCCCAGTGAGAGAGACAGCAGGGGAAAACGTCAGCACAGCCTCATGGGCAGCTGCCAGACGGTACCCTAACACAGATCATTATCATCAGTACAGTTCAACAGTGTATTCTAATGTAAACACTCAGTTTTCCAAACTGAGCCCTGCCAGTGCATCCAACTGATTTACCAGGTGCAAATCCTACCTGAGTCACTACCCAATTGATACTCCCTGAAACATGCCTCATGGTGCCTGGAGAAGGCAACTTGCCTATTTGTAGGTACATCTCTACTAATTGCTAGAAAATAACCAGGCTGCTCCTTATTGCACACTCCCAAACAGATTATAAGAGAGAGCAAAAACCATTATGGTGGCAAGGAACTACCAGCCACGCAGGCCAATCCTTTGAGGCACTGTAACCCAGCGGCCTGAAAACCTCCATCCTCCTTCCAATAGTCCAAGCTAACTGCAGAACAGACCAACACTGAGCCCTCCTGTGCACCTTCCCCACATCAGCTTCAGGCTTTGAACTAGCACATAAAATTGATCTGATAAAATGATCTGTTTCAGTTTGAATGAGCTTCTTGGCCTGGTTTTGACTTGCCACAAAGCAATCAGAGCACTTGTGAGGCCTAACCTGAAATACTGTGTTCAGTTTTGAACTCTCACTCTAAGACAAACTCAGCAGCCCAGCAGCGTGCAAACAACACTGGGAAGCACCTAGAGCACAGCACTAGGGAAGTTTGAGGGGAGCATGTTTCCTTAGTCTGGATATCAGGAAGCTAAAGCATGCTCTAACTGCAGTCTTCCAGTTACCTTTGGCAAGAGCCAATGCCTGCAACATGGAAAGCTCAACTGGAAATGAGAAAAAAAGTTCATGAACGAGAAGGTTCAAGCACACCACCTGTGGAATGATCGTCTTTGCCTATATTTCAAGTCACACGAATCTGACTTCAAAGCTAGCTCTGCTTACAGCAGAGAACTGGACCAAGTAACCTCTTAAGTGGTCCTTTATGATTTCATTACAAACTTCATACAAAATTTCACATCTGAAGCAGTAAAATATTATTTTCGGGTCTTCTAAAAACCCAATAGTGGCTACTACTGAAAGGCAACGCTTAGAGCAGTAATTCTCAAAAATGTGGTAAGGACAACACTAAAGCTTGGTAAGTAAGTGCATTTATATGTAAACTCACAACTTCCATGCAACTACACAGTAACAGTTCCTGATTGGCAGCATGAATCTGAGACTCAGCAGGAGCTCTTGGAAATCAATGTTTTAAACAAAGCAATGACTTCAGTAGTTACAGTGGAAAAAAAGTCACATGAAGAAGATCACAGCAGCATTAAGACTGATTCTACATTATTTGCAGGGACAAAACACCCAGAGTTTAAATCCTTCCCTGACTCAAACTTTCACCACAACTGCCAAGCATGGTGCCATTTTTACTCAGCATGCTACTAAACTAGGGAAAAAAAAAAAAAGATGCCATTTAACCACGTATCAGGTAACGTGCACCATCTATTCAGCATTCACTTCAGCTTGCTGTGGTGCCGAGACTACCACCTTGAACCCACTGCTGGTTACCATGCAGACTCCTCACACACCAGCCCCTGCGCGCACTGAAGAAAACCAGGGCTGCAGAACCTCGCCTACATTCTCTAGTGTAACAACACAAACCAAACCCTCAGCTAGTTAATACAGCCTCGTTCCTTGCAAATGGAATAGTTTCAGATTGTTCGGAATATTTTCTTCACTAAGCAAGCATGTTAACCAGTTTAAAAGCTGTTCATCACATCCGTCTCTTCATTTTCAACATGTTGACTTCTACTCAGAAGATGAAAAACAACACCTATTCTGAGGTACTTCCACTTCCCCTCGGTCAGTGTCAAAATTACGAGCACCAGAATGATGACACATCAGTCAATAAAAGAGTGTAAATATTTCTTCTAAGTGATGGCAAATAAAAAACTCCCTAATTTTACTCAGGCAAAAACGCAGAAGACAACTATTTTTTCATTCTAAGACCAAAAAAAAAAGAAAATGAACTTTTAAAGTGTACTTGGTAAAATAAAAGGGCTCAGTTACTCTCCTACAAACCACGCTGTGCTCATATTCTATGATGTAAAATATTTCTCACGTCTTCTCTTCTAGAGTAATCCATGAAAAGCAACTATTGTGCAGTCGCAATATATATATACATATATATATATACTATACTTCAAAGAGTTCACAAAGGACAAAATTTGGGACCCTAACCCAGCAACACAATGCATTTTGCAAGTGTGAGTTATTTTCTGTACTGAAAATCTTTTTCTGTATTGAAAATCTTCATCTTGTGAGATGAACTTACAGTGCTTGAAATTAGCTGTGGAATTCTGAATTTAAAGTATCAGTACTCTCAACAGCTTTCTGTATGTGACAGTATGGGAGGAAATCTGCAATTTCAAACAGAAGAACAATGCGAAACCTCCCTCTGTGCTAAAACTACACCACAAAAATGGGAACTACTCGGGACTCAGATAAAAGACAACCATCACAATGCACGAGCACTACCTCATTTGAAATATGTAACCCATGCAAAAATATGCATCTTCACAGTTTCTGAGATTTGGTAGGTGATGAACATCTGAAAGGACAAGTAGAGTCTATATATAATAGTTACATACCAGTTCCACATAAAGAAGGACAAATAAAAAACATACACTAGAGCTCAAACAGCCTACAATAAGCTGCTCATTCATCCCTTAAATTTCATTTCCCATAAACATACCATAAAAAATTAGTCTAAATTTGAGTTTGGCTTTAAGGTATGAAGCTTCCAAAAACTATAGTGATATTTTATTTATAAAAAATAGAAACGTTCACTTCAGTTATTAATAGCACATATGATAAGGAAAGTTAATCCAGCCACAGTCAAGCACTCAGTGAATCCTCAGCACAGATCTCTAAAATCTCGTTTCCCTTGGATACACAAGTTCAGAATTGAATTCTTTATTTATTCAATACAATATTTTCCTACAAGCTTGTCATGGCAACACCATATCCTGACAATATTTTAATCTGAGAGCTTTCATTCTCAAAATCCCACAGAGAAAACCCAGAATAACTCATAACCTAGAGCTCAGGATGCTCACTGAGCTCATTGGATTCACAGGGTTGAACGCCCAGCTCAGCCCACTTCCCCTGCAGAGACCTTCCTATCACCGTGCCATTGCCTGTTTTGGGCTCTATCTTCTAAGCTCTCCGTCGCACACAGTTCTTCAGGAACCTCAACACTCCTAAAACATTTTGAAACTACATCAGGAATCAATCATTCTTCAATTTATTGCTTAATTTAATACTTTTCAATGCCATTCTAGAACATATTGATTTTAAAAACGAAAAACTATGGTATATCTTACTACAGGTGTGATACAACCAAGATACTACCAGTTGACAATGCATTACTGCCCATAATTGAAAGCTGAACAAAGCTTTCTGTTCTTTTCACTTAATAGGTTTGGGAAATTAACTGAAATTTGAATGATAAACTGGCACCTGTAACAAACCCAGCAGAGCACTTCATAACACTGCCCCAAACACCACACTGATCACATTGCCAGTCTTGCCCTTGTCAAAGCCAAGGGAGATTCTACCACCTATCTACCAACCTACCAAGATTTTCTGGTAGACAACATCTCAACAAACTCAAGCTTCAATATCAGGACTTAAAATTCCACATCCAGTTAAAATTCACAGAAACGTTGAGTTCCATCCAAGAGAAGGCAACACATCAGCCCCTATCACAACAATCAGTGAAGCTCACTTCATTTGGAGTGTATTAATGAACTCCCATCTCCACCCTTCCATAATACTACTAATAGAATAGAAATGCTTTTGTATCAAGTTTTGACAGAGATTTGCCCATTCTTTCTTTCCCTTTTGGTGAACACTCCCTCAGTCAAAAGGAAAATCAGAAGAAGCTCTGCAAGTAAAGAAGTTAAAAGAATAAAACTGACAGTCCATATATGCTGGTTAATAGTTACTTTTTTTTTTTTCCCAACAAATATTCTTCAACCATTCTCCATTAAAACAGAGACACAGCAGATATTTTTTCCACAATGAAAAAACAGGTAAAAGAACGTTAGAAAATAGAGATTCGCGAGTTCATTTAATTATGAGATTTTCTTGAAAAAAATACCAGTTAAGGTCCCAGTGTTCACACTCCCATATTGATACAAGGGCTTTACCAACACTGTTGCTGTCAGCTTTCCAACTCAAGCAGTTGCAGGTTGCAATGCACATCAGTACAGTTTATGAATTTTGCAGATTTTCCTCTACTGTAAGAAAAACAAAGCATGCTTGTTTCTGTAGACAATCTGCATGCTTGTTCTGTGCAGATTATGTCACTATAAAAAAAACTCTGCAAGCAGAAGTGGAGTCTATTCCAACAGAACTACTATAATAAATTATCCCAGCTGTCTGGACAGAATGAACTACAGCATCAGAAAAGCAATTATACCTGAACTGTATCTATTACTTAGGGATGCCACACTTTTGCTCTCCCACTGCTACATGTACATTAAAAAGCACTACCCATTAGACTTACTGTAAGTCTAACACAGCATGAAAAGACACAATCAGTGACCATTAGAGTCACATTATGCATAAAACATAACTGCAGGCTTTTTCCTGAAATTGATGTGGAGTTACACTAGCAGAACTCTGACTTATGCAGCAGGCAATGCCCAATCAGAATAACAATGCGCTCGCACCTACCAAGATCTTCAACTCGGCACTGTGCGCTTACCTACATTTCTAAGTTTTGTAGGCACAAAAGGGTTTTTGAAGGAAATGCAGCTAATACTAGTACAGCTGGCTTGGTTCTTCTGCTTGTATTTCACCCCCTTCCCAGAGTAATAAAACTAAATATATAAACTATACTGGAGAAAAAAAAAGACACTTTGGCAGGGTGGGAGGACAGGAAAAATCAACTTCTGTGAAGATCACATAATTAGTCAGATAGAGCACAACCACTTCTGTCAAAAGTACACAGCAGTGACCGCACCTAAGGCCACAAACACGCTTCCTATTTTCAACTCAAGAACACTCTAATATCATACTGTGCAAGTGCTCATACTGCAGCCACAGTAAAAACACATCTAGTATGTATCAGCAGCATACTAGTGAACAAGCCACCGTGCACAACTGGACCAGGCTAGTAACACCATGAGCTCCTGCACTCCTCAATCAACACCAGCAAGCTGAGAAGGACACAAAGTACTACTTGAAACAAAACAAAGCTTTTCATCTCAGATCTGGACAAAGAAACATAGTAGGTATACAGAAATATACTACACCTATTCATTTTAGGTACACCTAATTTCTAGCTGACAAAGATTTCAACTTAAGCATATGTTTAACTTTAATGGAAGCACGTTGGTGCAGTATGTGTATATGCAAGATCCCTTTCACACTGGAAAAATACTCATCGTTTTATCAGATTTCCTCATTAGTTTAAAAAATTTATGAAAAACACAGACAAAAATCAGCAAATCCCTAGTACTTACTACAAGACCTTTACTGCATAAAAATATATTTGCACTAAAGAAAAAAAAATAGAATCACTTCTATCTTACTCCCAAGGCTGTTAGCAAAGATGCAAAGTAATTGATTCAAGGAAAGGTCAGTGTCATGTATTAAAGATTTCTGAAATAATGAGAGAATACTACACTCCACACATACATTTTGAAGTAATTTATTAAGAGTTTTGGCAGGCAGATCACTAAAAAAAACTGAGACTTCAACAAAGCTGTCCCCAAGACTTCAGAAGGGATTTTATACACAGATAACTTCTTTGCAGAGTTTTTCAAGCAATAGCAATGTGCATTTCACTAGAAATGCAATGTAAAACCCTCCAGGACCAACATGCGAAGGATTTAACCTCAAATGAAAAAATCCTCCCACTTCCTCCAGAAGTGAGCAAGAGGCATGGGAAGCCCTTTTAAAATAACGCTTAGAAAAACATTTAAGAAGTGAGCATTCCACCCACCTTAGTGGGCTCAGCATGAGTTGGTCTGGTAGCATCCCTGCTATTCCTGGATGCAGATGTTGCTGTTAAACACGAGCACCAACCACATCACACAGTCAGGACATTCGAAAAAAAAGAACAATAACAACTTCGGATGAATTAGGCCTTAAGGCCAAACAAAAACGAAACAGTTATCAACGAAGTGAGTTGTTTACCCACACACCAAGTAGTTACTTGCACTTGAATTGTTGCAAATATTTTAACAAGTATTAAAGGTGCTCTACCAATGATTACTTCGCCTCACATGCTGCAATTAAGTACCGAACAAAGGCAAATTTCCCCTTTAAATGTGTCTCGTAATTTCTGGCTCAACAGAACCGAATGCTCTTTCAAACCCTTTTTCCCTGTAAGCCCTGAACACACCTCGTGCCAAGAAACACGCGTTCGATAGGTACAAAAGGCAGCTATGAGGTGATGTTTGGAGCAGACCTCTGAGATGAGAGACATGGGTGACAGAGGAGACGAGGGCTGCCCGCAGGAGCCCTCCTTTGTGCCCCATGGGCACACAACAGCCAACATTCCCTCGCCTCTCCCCCACAGCGCACAGAGGGAGCCTCGTATACCGCTTTCTCAAGCGGAGGAGAAAACCCGCGTCCGGGATACGTCGTGGGGGGCTCCTGTCTGCCCGGGAAGACAACGCTTCCTACACAGACGGCCGACACAAGCGCGGCGGCAACGCCCCAACCGGCTCAACGACAGCAGCGAGGGCCTTAAAATGGCGCCCGTGGGGGAGGAGAATCACCGCGAAACTGCGCAACAAACGCTGGCAGGAAGCCAGACAGCGCCATCTTCCCGGCTCTGCCCCACTCCCCCTCGCAGGCACAGCCGCTCGGCACAGGCTGGCAGCGGTGCCCGGCCGCAGCTCCGGCAGCCCTCTGCCCCTCGGCTCGGCGTTAGCGAGCCTGGAGCAGTGCAGGGAGCTGGGAAACAGAATAGGCCTCAGCACCTCCTTCCTTCTCCAGCTGTTATTTAATAGTAATTCCGAATACGTTCAAACGTTCGCCATACGGCTCTGCCGCGCTCTTATATTAATGCGTTACGGCGTTATTATCCGTGAGAGAACGCTGCAGCTGATAGCAGGAGCGCGTGAGGAGAAGAGGCACTG